AAAAGTATTGCCTGTGGATTTTGGAATCCATCTATGTCTGGCATGTTTTGAGCTAGTTTCTCCCACTATTGTGAAACTTTCTAGTTATATGCAGTGCCTTTTTTCTATTAAAAAAAAAAGTTTAGGGGTACTCTCATTTTCTTACTCATATTGAAATACTGCCCCTCAATGAGGCCAAACTTAGATTCACAAAATGTTTAGGGGTATGCATACCCCTGCGTACCCCCCAGAAAAAAAGCACTGGTTATATGTTTCTTCATTTTAAAACAACAGCTAGCATTGCCTCTATTTTCAGGTTGAATAACTGCTTGTATTTTTATCTCCACGTTGCTTATGCTTTATGGGGAAGTCTATTAAGATGAGCCCTTTAATCATAGCAAATAAGCTTCCATCTTTTCTGGAAGCTTTATATGCAAAATCTTCTGCAGGTATGGCTATGTGCTTATTTCAAGCTTCTTCCTACACTTTTCCTGAAATGACTGTCACAGCACTTTTTAATCAGTCTCAATGGTAGATGATAAATATGTTCTGTATGGCATTTCACTGGAGCTAATACTTCTTGACACCAACATGAAAATGCAGTTCTGCTTCAACTTTCCAGCCCCACTTTTTGACATTTTCTGCAAGCTGTGTTCCTTTCCTAGATTTCCTCACACATATGCTGTTTTGGTGCTTTATAGGCTATTTTAATCTCTTTCTCCATAATGCATTTGCTCTTGTATTGAGAAAAGAACTGAGGCTTCTAGGTGCTTAGAAGATGAGAATGTTATGTGGTCTTGGCAAGCCCAAGTCTGTGGGAAGGTAGTTGCTACTTTGAAATGAGTGCCCATTTTGAGCCAATAGGCATATGAGGTAGACTCTGCCATTATCTGTAGTGCACAGTATCATGTATACCACCAGCTTTTCCTGCAGACACCTGGATACATTGGGAGAAAACCAATGATAAATTATGCACAATATATGCTTTTTTGTTTTGTTTGCACTGCATGAATGGAAAACTGAATTGCAAACTTCAGAAAGGTTGGCTCTTTTCCAGTTCACACATTGTTTTGGAATGTGCAAATATGGTAAGTTTACCTTTAAATGTGAACCGAAATGAATTTCTGTCTAATATCTAGTGCTGGCTCAGATGCATAAAACATGATTGGTTACCTACAGCAACTTACTTTCTATATTTGGGTGCCATATCCCAATGCTATTGGGGGAAAAGGTCTGTGTCGTATAAGCGCATATATTTTCCCCCTCAGATAGCTATCTTTAGAAACCCACAGCTGCTGATTTTATTGCTCTATGTTACTTTTCTCTTCCTCCCTCTCTACATCAGGCATAGATGATTTAACCTGCAATTCTATAGCCCTTACATGGGAGTAACATCTCAGTAGCCTTTTTAGGATTTTATTCGAGGGGGGGGGGTCCCTGTTTATGTACAATTGGATTTTATGAAAACTGCGTCACTAGGTGGCCAACTTCTCAGCCACCTGGGAGCTGCTAGCAGGGGCAGGCAAGTGGACATGTACTGTATTTCCTTGTTTCTGTTATGGTATTTTTCTTCTTTATTTCATTTATATCCCACCTTTTTCTCTAAGGAGCTCGAGGTGGCAGATGTGCTTCTTTTCCCGCTCAATTAATCCCCCCAACAACCCTGGAGGTAGGTTAGGCAGGGCTTGCCGATCAGAAGGTCGGCGGTTCGAATCCCTGTGACGGGGTGAGCTCCCGTTGTTTGGTCCCAGCTCCTGCCCACCTAGCAGTTCGAAAGCACATCAAGAAGAAGAAGAAGAAGAAGAGTTTGGATTTGATATCCCGCCTTTCACTCCCCTTCAGGAGTCTCAAAGCGGCTAACAATCTCCTTTCCCTTCCTCCCCCACAACAAACACTCTGTGAGGTGAGTGAGGCTGAGAGACTTCAGAGAAGTGTGACTGGCCCAAGGTCACCCAGCAGCTGCATGTGGAGGAGCGGAGACGCGAACCCGGTTCCCCGGATTACGAGACTACCGCTCTTAACCACTACACCACACTGGCTCTCAAAGTGCAAGTAGATAAATAAGTACCACTCCGGCGGGAAGATAAAACGGCGTTTCTGTGTGCTGCTCTGGTTTCACCAGAAGCGGCTTAAGTCATGCTGGCCACATGGCCCGGAAGCTGTCTGAGGACAAACGCCGGCTCCCTCAGCCTATAGAGTGAGTTGAGTGCCTTTTTAGTCTAAGATCACCTAGTGAGCTTCATGACCAAAGGAGGCAGGACACTGAACCCTGGTCTCCCAGGTCCTCATCCAAAGTATCATCATTATACCACACTGGCTGTCCAGTAATTATAGTCCTTTGTCTTTTTCAGTATTGTCTTTTATCTTATGAGCTGTTCAAAGAACATATTCCGTTATACAAAAGTAGTTTGTATATTGTATGTAAAGCCATGTTAAACAATGATTAATTGACATTTAGGCCTAATTTGAACATGGTGTGAGCCAGGTAAAAGAACGTTGCCAGAGTCATTATTTCATTTAAACCAAGACACATTGCTCAGGTTCAGACCATTAGCATTCAAAGGATCCTGCATTGCAGAGAGTTGGAGTAGTTGACCCTTGGGGTCCCTTCCAACTCTACAGTTCTAGGATTCAATGACTCATAGCCCAGGAAAGTGCACTGCTGTCGTCCTGCTCTTATTTACATGAATAGTGGGGGAAGGCTTGATTTTACATTTGAAGCCATTCCACTTGCACCGAAGTGTGGGTACGTTTTAAAGGGGCTATTTAAAATAGCCCAAGAACTGCCACAACAACATACCCATGGTTGCAATGTGCTAGCCCAGGGGTTGCTAAGATGGTGTCTTCCAGACGTTGTGGACTCCAACTCCCATCAGCCCCAGACAGTTCATGGATGATGGGAGTTCTGGTCCAGCAATGGGAGGGCACAGACTTGGCAAAAGAAAAAAGCAAGCTGTCACTTCAAACCAATGAGATGGATAAATTCAGGATGGCTCCAATTCCCAATATCAAATCTTAGCTGTAAAAGTAAGCTGTAAAAGTAAGTAGTAATTATTTCAGTTAAAAAAAAAACTTCCATGGGATGCTGAAGATGAACACATTAAAGCAGCAACTGTGAGTACAATGTTCAATGGATTCAAGCAGCCTACTAAGGGAAGCTGCGATAACTGGAGCTTAAAGAATTAGTGCTTTTCCAATCCACGAATCAAATTCATTATTCATTACCGCTGATGCCCAAGAGCCTAACCTTCAAATATTTTGCTTCAGCCACCTCCATTAAAACTGAAATGCATGCATATTTTTCACTGTTTTAATCCCCGTATTGCATAATATGAGCAAGATACAACCCCGAATATAGAAATGTCAGCACTGTGGGGAATGCTATCTGGGAAATCTAAACCGTACCAACATAATAATTTGGCTTTTCACCCCAAATCTGAACTATAGCTCTTTGCATTGTGAAGTATTTTTTTCAAATTCCAAGTTCCAAAAGAAAAGCTGCTTTCTTATTTTCCAGCTTGGGGAACAAAGAAAAGGAAAAGTCCTGATAAGACACGCTATAGTTTGCCCTGTCACCTATGGGTAGAGTGGGTGAGTAAAAGCTATGTCACCCTACCGAACGCAACCCCTGTGTAAGTTGCAGGTTTAATGTACTTTTTTAGAAGGTGTGAACCAGGAAGATTCACATTTAAATCTGAGCTGAACAGAATTTATACTCCTTCCCTAGTTGAAAGCCTGGCCAGGGAGTTGCGTACATCCCTGCTTAAGATGACAGGTCATCTTACCAGCACCTGCACTGAGCAATCAAGGTTCGACAGGCAACAGACCCAGCCACCAGTGCAAATGCAGAGCCAGGATTCCATCTGTACCCAGCTGGACTATATCAAAGTCCAAAATGAAGATCACAGTTAATAGGATTGTTACTAAAGTCAAAGCACATAGTTATTTACTAATCACATGGAAGCTTATTTTGTAAGTTAATCAAGGCTATAGGCCCCAACCCAACACAGAAGTACAGTGGTACCTCGGGTTACATACGCTTCAGGTTACAGACTCCACTAACCCAGAAATAGTACCTCGGGTTAAGAACTTTGCTTCAGGATGAGAACAGAAATCGTGCTTCGGTGGTGTGGCGGCAGCAGGAGGCCCCATTAGTTGAAGTGCTTCAGGTTAAGAACAGTTTCAGGTTAAGAATGGACCTCCAGAACGAATTAAGTACTTAACCCGAGGTACCACTGCAATTGGTATAACGTGCATTTAACTCTGTTGAATTGTGGCCCCTGGAGAGTTCTGAGAATAGCACAGGTTCACAGTGGCGAATCAGCTCGAAGAAGGAGAACTGAGTAAATCATCAAAATAGTTTTGGCTTTATTTTTGAGTGTAGATTTAAATTTATTTTGAAAGCCCTTACATTTAACACATGCACATAAGGAAGGAATATAGTTATGTACACACAATTCTACATGTTTACATCACAAACAAATTTAAGTCAAGATACAATGGAAATTTTCTATATGCTGACAGTGACACACATTGAACCGTTGTGTAACTGGTTTTGTAAACCACAGAGAGGTTTTATTACAGTCGAACGGTATATAAACAAACACAAATTAAGATTTCTATTTTTTAATTTATAAAATGGGAGTGACTGTAAACCTATAAAAAAGATAGATCAGAACATCCTAGCACCTCTTAAATTATGTATCTATATGGGTATGATGCGGGTGGCACTGTGGTCTAAACCACAGAGCCCAGGGCTTGCCGATCAGAAGGTTGGCGGTTTGAATCCCCAGGGTGAGCTCCTGTTGCTCGTTCCCTGCTCCTGCCAACCTAGCAGTTTGAAAGCACGTCAAAGTGCAAGTAGATAAATAGGTACTGCTCTGGTGGGAAGGTAAACGGCATTTCTGTGCGCTGCTCTGGTTCCCCAGAAGCGGCTTAGTCATGCTGGCCACATGACAAGGAAGCTGTCTGCGGACAGCTGTCTACTCCCTCGGCCAGTAAAGCGAGATGAGCGTCGCAACCCCAGAGTCGTCCGCGACTGGACTTAATGGTCAGGGGTCCCTTTACCTTTACCTATGGGGGTGACTGAGCTGAATGACAAGCAGTGTCAAATTATCAGTCGCAGTCCAGGTGTTTATTGCCTGCAGCTGGAAGAAACCCATGGCCCCATCTGAGCTGGACAGGTTGCATAGCATCTGGGATACTATCATGTTGAAATGAACATGCTAGATTCAAACCTGAGAGGATAGGATGATGCAGATTAAATCTGGTTAACATTTTCAGCCTTCCAGGACACAATTCATCCACATGCACTGATTTGTGTCATTTTGTATATATGGTGAAATACATGGTTTGTTTGCTGCTGTTATTAATGCTTAAAAATCATCATAATTTAGGGGAAGCAACAAAGATTTGATATTGCAAATGCTAGGACCTCCCCTCCGAGGTATGTCTTGTGCCATCACTGTATGTTTTGTCAACAATGAACGCCACTTTTTTATCCAGATCTTTTGTTGCGTAGACACCTTCTCTCTTCCTGAAATTGCTGTCCAATGCAGCTGTTTTGTTGCTTTGTCGCTACTTGCCTTCTAGTTTTATTTTACTATTTTAATGTATATTGTAATTGTTTTAATAATGAAATTTTTGCTACCTGCCCTCAAACCATTCACAAACAACAAATAAATAAATAATGCTCAGCAGGGACAGGGAGAGAGACGGCTCAGCAGTTTCCTTTGAACAACAACAGCAACAAACCAAAACTCTTGGGAACATGTAGTTTAACCTTAATCTAAGGACTTGTGATTGGCTCATCCATTAAGACCTGCCTTAAGACTAATTAAGTATGCTAGCATCAGGAAAGCTTGACACTGGGTGCAATAAGAAATGTTTGTGTGTGTGTGTAAATTCCTCCTTTTTTTGCATAGGCCATTCTGTACTTTCATGAGAGCTTCACAAAAATCAAGTCAAAGCCTTTCCCTCTCACCACCAACTCCTCCCACCCCCGGAGCTGAAACAGGAAATATAATGCAACATGGGATCATGGATATGTGGATATTAATTTCATCTCAAAATTGGGCTCTTGGGTTCTATTGATTTAGACCAGGCTTCCTCAACCTTGGCCCTCCAGATGTTTTTGGTCTACAACTCCCATGAGCCCTAGCTAGCAGGACCAGTGGTCAGGGACGATGGGAATTGTAGCCTCAAACCATCTGGAGGGCCGAGGTTGAGGACGCCTGATTTAGATTTCCACTAAAGCTTCCATAGTTGTGGAAGGTGCAAGTCACAGCAAAAGGGATAATGCTTACATTTATAGTACACTGAGATACATGAGGAACCTACTCATTCTATTCATTGTACTTCTATATCTTGCTAATGCCTCCCATCTCTTTCCCTTGCAATGTCATGTGGTGCTGAAGTTTAGCATCAAGCACACTTATTCATGCATACAAGCAGCTCCATCCTGATGGCAATGCGCACATGCCAGCCAAGTGGTATCAAGCGAATGTAGCGCGAGACAATGGGTGGGCGCAGAAGGTTCTGCACAGAAGATGATCTGTCTGAATTTCCATAGAAAACCTACAGAAGACAAAAAGAAAGGTCGGGGAGCGGGGACAGATTTTATTTCACAGAAGACAGGATTGAGGCCTTAACTTCCTTTAATTCTGCATTCAGTAAGTTGGAAACATATTTAGCGACTTAAATTATTTCGTGTCACTAATTTACCAAGCAATACTGCTGCTGGTTTCTGTCACTAGAAGCAAATTACTTGCAATTACATGGTGCATGGTGCCAAATTCTGCTTGGGGAGATAAACCAACCTCTCCACAGCTGAATTATGTTTATACAATAGTAGGCTTTCCAGGGCGTGTAGTTTCATCCTGGCATGTAGCATGGCTAGTCAAATCTATGAAGAACCCACTAGTATAAATGAGGAGTAAGTGTCATAAATGTATTGGCTCTACATAGCATAAAAATGTTTACGACTGAAATGTCGCTTGTAATTCTTGTCAGTTTTCTCAGTTTAGAACAAATGCAGACTTTGCTCCAATGTAATGAAATCAAGGCTAATGCAGATTCTTTTTCTCATCCTTTCCCATTCAAATTCTTTATTCAAATGTTGTCTATTAACACAGAATTTTATTCAAATTCTTTTTTCGTTTTTCTTTTGGCTATCGGTGAAACAAAAGGCATAGCAAGTCCAAACTTCAGGGAGATTTGGGGTCAACTGGCAATTAGCTTAGAAGCTCCAGGTTGTGAAAGCTTGTACAGTTCTCAGAATTCCTCAATTCTGAACTTGAGTGCAGCAAAACTGACAATTGATGAGATGCTAAAGAGGTGGCAGAATATGGTATTCAGAGTGGACTTTGCCACCTTGGAAAGCAGCTATAACAAGTAGCGGATTGTATGAGAATCTATCTGCTTAAAAATATCACACTCATTGCAACATCCTCTATTATACATAGCAGTGCTCTTTACAGCCTTTGTCCCCCCCCCCCCGCAATTTACTCAGGAGAAACTAATATATTTCCAGTGCCGTAACACTTTAAAAGTTATGCTTCTTTCTACAGTATATTTCACATTACAGAAACACCGTTTTTCTAAATAAATGTGGCACTGCTTACCTCCCTCTAGATTCCCTATCAACAGTATCAGGGAAACTCAACCCTCTAATCTGTTCTAGATGTAGGTAAATTGTTGCATGTAGCAACTGGTTCCTCTGGACATTTCCATATCTGTCAAAACACACATGCAGCCAGTTCAATGGCAACCTTCCTAGATGAGTGTTGTGATGGCTGGCCACACACATTCAGCCTTCTGATTTATTTCCTTATCTATTTATTTACTGGGTGATCAACTGAAGTATGGTGCATAATTTTTTAAGAGGAAATATTCCTTGTCCCTCACTTTATCGGGGCACATGAGTTTAACAAAATGATTTTAACCACTAAGAAGTAACCCCAGATAAGTGGGTTTAGAATCTCAGCCTTGGACTCAAATTTGATTGTCAAGTACTGAAAGTCAATGAATACTAGGATTCATTTTTATTTGAATGGGATTATTCATCTCGACACACTCTGTTCTGAACAAATGTCAATGTGGGAACATCTTCAGAAAATGCCTCTTTCAGAAAATGCATCTCATACTGACCCTGTTGTTTCCTGTCTGATCCTTGTAATAGACCCAGTTCAGGTTCTCATCAGTCCTGTACTGCACGCTGTATTTCGTCATCCATTCGTCTGCATCACACCGTCCTTGTGTGATTATTCCTGAAATCACTTTGATTTCCTTCAGGTCAATCTGCAGCCACTGGTTTGTGTCTTGGTATTTGGAGAGCCAGGCACACCTGTTAAGAGTTGCAAGAGAAAGGCATAGAAGGTTATGTCCTATACTAAAAGAAACACTTGCCAATGAATGAGATGTGTTCTCTGAGGTCGGAGGGGTATGCAATTACAGCTGACACCGGCATGCTAGTAGTAACTTCTCTGGGAAAATTTGGCAGCAGCGCTCAGGCTCGTTTGCTGCGGTTGTGCCTGTGCCTCTTAACTCCACATTTTGCCATTTTGATTTATGTGTAATACCCTCGGTGAGTCAATGTAGGTGGGATGAAAGGCACCTCCAGACTGCCAGGAGTTTGAAGCAGGCCTTTGCAGTGCCCTGAGGCCTCAGGAGGGAGTGTTCTTAGAATAAAGTTAGAAACTCAAACAAAAAAAGGAGCTGGTCCCTGGTGCAGCCAACTGGCCAGCTTAGCCCTTTGAGGCCCAGGGCGGGTGTACCTGGCTGCGCCCCTTCCGCACCTCCCTCTGCATAGGGTCTAGTTTGAGGGAGGAGTTCAAGAACTTACTATGGAATTTAGAATTGTACAATTAAAGTGGATTAAGATGCTCCATCACCCTAGTGTGGCAAAAACTCTAGAAACAGTCTGTTGTATTCAAAGTAGCATTAATGAATCATATAATTATTTGGTGGACTGATGAGAATCATAGAATCTTAGAATTGGAAGGAGCCATGGGGGTCATCTAGTCCAACCCCCTGCAATGCAGGAAACTTTTGCCAAACATGGGGCTTGAACCCATGTCGCTGAGATTAAGAGTCTCATGCTCTACCAGCTGAGCTATACCAGAGTATGTTCCATTAGCAAAAGGATTGCTCCTTGCACAATGGAGTGTTCTCCCCCCTCCTCTGCCCTGTCCACCCCCTAAATCTGTTCTTGGGGTTCTGGAGCATATTTTGGGATGGCACAGGGCATATGGGTGGAAGGGAAGGGAAGGGAAGGGAATCCTGTTGCACTAGCACTAATCCTTGCACTAGCACAACTATTTGGTTGTATATCATTCAGACATTTTGCACATAGGAAAATGGCAAGGAAATGTACACTATATGCCTTTCTGGCACATTATATACACAACCTGCAAGCAAACCAAGAGGAATGCAGGGTGCATGCTCATTGTCATATAATCTCCCTGCAAACAAGTGAGAAGGAATGCTCCATAAAAACTAGCTATAATCTAACCTCTGCATAAACTTTGCACAAGCAAATTCGAGCAAATGCTCAAGAAATATGTAATTTAGAGGAGCCGTATCAAAATGTATTAATACAGCCAGCAGGAAGAATAACTTGTTGACATGGTGGCTGGCAGGAAGCGACAGCTGGGGAAACAAAAACCAGGAGGAAGTAGATCAGCACAACAGCAAAAAGCAGGTGAGACAAAGAGCAGAGGTAATTGAGCAGACTTCTAGAAAGAGAGAGAGAGAGAGAGAGAGAGAGAGAGAGAGAGAGAGAGAGTGTTTTACATAGTGTCTGGCTGACTCTTTGCTGGTCAAAACATTAGGAGGAAGATGTGCTGCTTACCCAAAACCTTGCCCGTTAAGCCGGGCCTTGTTTGCAATCCATGAAGTGTACCATCCAGTGTACTGCTCTGGACTGGAGCAGCTTATCTGGTCTGGAGTAACAGCTCCTGACTCAAAACCAAGTGGCTTGTGATAGGGACATTCTGTAATCGAACAACAAACATTTTCAAAAGAGTGTGCACAAGTACAAAAATCTCCTTCTCTATCTCAGGGCTGGGGAACGTCTGGCCCTCCAGATGTTGATGGATATCAACTCCGATCATCCCTGATCACTGGCCATACAGGCTGGGGCTGATAGGAGTTGGAGTTCAATAGCATCAGAGAGGCCGTGGATTCCCTGGCCCTAAGGCTCTCTTACAGAGGGTGAGATGCAGACTTTGTTTTACTAGTAGACTGAAGCATTTAGGAAGAGTAGAAGTTGGGCTGCCTTGTTTCCTCTATTCCTTTTGTTGATTTCTGAGTCCGTAACGTTGCTTTCCTAGCCCACGGAAAGTATGATGCCTGCATACTTTCACCAGCCAAACAAGGTACACAAAATTGCCTTGGGAATGTGGGAGGCCACTGTCACAACTGTGGCTGTGTTGGACCTGCATGGAGTTGCCCTTTTGTATGAATTGCCTCTGGGGATGGAGGAATATGTCAATTTTGGTTTCACACTGTTTCTCAGTATCAGTTCTCCACATTTCCACATCAGTTGGCGAATTTTTTTTAAAAAAAAAACCTCATGAAAACTCACCAGCATATTAGTGCAAATTTCATATTTGTATGTGATTTTGCCAAATAACTTTTGCAAACCCATTTTTCCCTAATGCAATGCATTTTGGAATGCTATGTTTATGGCTGGATGCATTTTTATTTTCTATTTTGCACAATTTACTCTGGTATACAAACTTTTGTATGTATTGCTTGGCTGGAGAAGCGCATTGCAAAATTCTGAGAAGTGTGAATGAGATAGGCTTGCCTTTAAATACAAACTGAATCCAATTTCTTACCCCTCCTTAATCACCACTTTCATTTTGATACTACCCATGAACTCCCTGTAATGAGGGCATATTTTGTAGTCTCCATCACCATGGAAATCACAGTGACGGTATGTGTTGAAGTCTTGCAAACTATGTTAAGTAAAACTGGGCTGAATTGCCTGCAATGTTTACAAGAAACGAGTTTTATTTTTAGTAGCACTAATCTCTAGCTAACACAATCATAATATACTTAGGAGGTAACCTTCTGTTCTAGAAAACCATCGTGGAGAAAGAAATTACCAGACAGATGCCTGGGGACTGATGGACCAAGTCAGTTAAATTATTTAATGCTGTTACCATTGACCTTAGAAGTCTCTCTGTGCGCTGTGCATTAGAATGGCATCCCTGCCTAGTTTCTACCACCATATATCTTTTCTCCATAATATGGCATTTGAAGGTGAAACTCTTTCTCAGCTAATACTACTATGTGGTTTTAGTTATAATGAAGATGGTGGAAAATTACAGGGTTGCATTTATTTTTTAAAGAATCCTGCAAAATTTAACACAAGTAAATTTTGCAAAAACGAGAATCAAATTACTGTCATTAGATTTTTGCGGTGTGTGTGTGAGAGAGAGGGAATGACACATTATCATTTAAGGGCCCAACTACATGCTGCATTAAATAAGCTTCATCTGCACCTTCCCCATCTTAAATGCTAAGTGTAGGTGATACAGCTTTTACCAGGACCACAGTGCATGGGGTAAGAAGGTGTGATCCTTTCCCAGCTACTATCCCAATGGAAATCCCTTCCTAAGCAGCAATTTAAACTTAGGAGCTTTACTTTGTAATTATCATATGGGGGGGGAGGTGCTCACAGCTGGGGGAGGGTTAAACCTCCTTCCAGATGTTGCTGAACTACAGCTCCCATAGGCCATGCTGGCTGGGGCTGATGAGAGTTGGAATCTGGAGGGTGACCAGCTCTCCAGCTCCCTCATAGGTAGTGGTGTCCTCAGTGACTTTCCTTCGACATTGGGATTCTGTTCCCCTGGGTATGCCAAAGCCCAAGCCTTCTCCTGAAAAAGTGTGAAATATTTATTTATTTTAAATTAAAACTGGCTTTGGGTGGCTGCGATGGAGGCCTTACTCACAGGTTAAGTAAATATAGGCCTGTGCTAAAAGCCACGATCAGTCAAAAGTTCTTACCTGGCATGCATTCCAGATTGTTTGTCCCCGAGGACCATACGGAATTTGGACTTCCCTGACAATCACATTTGCAGGCTTTACTGTGCCAGTGTTCCAGTCTGTCATCCTAACAGAGCAGAAAAGAAGAAGGAAAGAAGCAAACTGGTATAAATCCTTGAAATCCCTGCCATTTCCACTGGCCAACACAGAAAGTCCAAATCGCCGCCATTTTGACATAGAAACAAAGGACAACTCAAAATGTAGGATGATGAATGTCAATGACTGCTATACACCTGAATATAAGTTCCTAAGGGGCACTATGCTTTTATGTAGAGGAGTCTCAGAGCTAATCTGCTATGAAGAATATCTGTCGTTACTTACTAGGTTTCTCAATTTGAGTACAAATTCAAAGGGAGATTTTATTTTAGAAATCTCGGGCAGATTCTCTGCAGTGGCCAAGAGAAAGTTGGGAAACAATGCAATTCATCAGAAATCTGTTTTGCTCTATTTGCTAGAGCAGCCAAAATACTGAGCAGAGACCTATTTGCATATTAATCGGACTGACTGTATAAATTGACCAGTTCCCTACATTTAATTTCATGTTGCGAGTTGCAGATGACTCTTTTGTATTACTTTTGATGATTTTTTAATAATGTTTTTTTAAGCAATAAAAGCTTGAGGTAGCAATAGCTCCACGATAGAGCAACTGCTTTGCATGCAGAAGTCCCTAGGTTCAAGCCTGGCATCACCAGAATGGAATTCCAGAGAGTCACTGCCAGTTAGTTGCTAGATGAGGTAGGTGAGACAATGGTCAGACTCTGAGTTTAAGGCAGCTTCCTGTGTTGCTAGACACCATGGCAGTCGTTATCAGGCTTTGCTTCTCTCCTCCCTGCCCACCCAAAATCCCTCCTCTCTTCTTGCTTAAATAACTACCAAAGCTAATGTGAAACACTGCAGTTTGTGTGGGCAGGTGTGCAGCTCTCAGTTTAAATAATAAAAAAACAGCTTCTAAAAGCAAGGGGAAGAACAAGATGTGAAATTAATCATGTACATTTAAAGAAATTAGCATTACTAAGGTAGCAAGTGCACCCTGATGGCATCATATCAAAGCGTGGTAGAGAATGGGCAGCAGGCCATACAACTTGCCCTCATAGCCAAGGAATTATCATTTAATCATTGCAGGCAGGAAAGGGAAGCAGGCAGATAGATGTGTGATGTTGCATTGCAGTATACGGCAACGTGCAGCAGCTTAGCTGTGGTACCTTGTGGGGAAAGGGCCAAGCACTCTGCAAACTACTTGCGTAGGAAAGCATTTAAAGTTTTTATGGTATCATAAAAGCAAAGATGTTTTCAAGAGGCTGAGTGAGTCAGAAGGAAACAAAAAAATCAGAATGATATAAGATTTGGTTGTTGCAAGCATATGAAGATGCACATTGCTGACATTTCCTTAGGTAGGATACAATCCAAGGTACGAATCCAGTGGTGCACCCCCCAGTCCTAAAAGTGGTTGTTCTGCAGGGGCGCCTTTGCAAGGCAAGCTGATAAAAAATATATATGCATGTGTGGATATGGGAGTAGGTAGGTAAGGTATGTCACTCTGGGTCCAAACTGTTGAATAAATCTCCATTCTGCTACAAAATTCACTAGATGACCTTGGGACAGTCACCATCTCTCAGCCTAATTGACCTCACAAGGTGTTTATGGAAGTAAGATGGAGAGTGGGGGAGAGACATGCATGTCACCTTGAGCTCCTTGAAGGAACGGGATAGAAATGGACTAATAAAAACAACAAAAGCAATAACGAAAGATCCATTTGGTACAGCGCCTCTGTCCAGTTGCACAGTCTATTGACATGGCATCAAATATGAGTTTGTTTAAAGCAAGTTCACAATATTGCTTCTGTGGTGGAAAGATGTGTTCTGGTACTATGCAAACACTGGAGGGGTGTGCTGTTAAATATTTGCTAGAAATCATCCAAGGACTAAATGACCTGAAAACATAAATACCAATACTATACTCTAATCAGTGAGTGCTGGAACGGTCAGCACAGGTCTGGATAAAGCTCCAAAAATATTTGGATATTATAGAAAGAAGTTTAAAGGACCTACCTCTGCTGGTGACAATGCCAGCATGGCTGTACAGCAGAGATAATGCAGCATGGTGGGAAACGACAAGAAAACGACAGTTAAAAGCATAGCGATAACTCGTGAGGTACTGAAATGAATGGGAAAAGGCATGGAAATAAATCACATGGTTGCTCATGCATCATGAAGTACCGCATTGCAATGGATGACAAACTGTGGGCAGAAGCAAAAATGGAGAAAATTGTACTTTGCATCAGCTGTTTGTTATGAATTAGCCATAGCCCAAGGAAGAAGTGTACTCCAAACTCCCTAATGTTAATCAAATCTGGCTGGATATGTTTTCCTACCAGAAGTTTCTTAACTTAGTTTCTTACCTCTCTCTTTCCACACTATGAAGAGCTGCCTTAGCCAACCCAGGGCACTCCAGATGCTTTGGACTACAACTCTCAGCCTCAGCTGGAAGGTCCCAAGATGGCACCTGCCTCAAATCAACAATTCCTTCTAAACCAGGTGTCAGGCACATTTGGTTCTCCAGATGTAACTGAACATCAGCTCCAGCAAGCATGGCCAAGAGCCAGGGATGATGGGAGTTGTAGTTCAGCAACATCTGGAGATTCCCCATACCTGTTCTGGACCGTAGGGATCTGATATGCACACAGAGTTTCCTTGATGGGAAAGGTTTCCCCATTCATAGCAATGTATAGTGTATCTCCATCTACACAAAGACGACCATATAAAGGTGCGATCCTGCTTGTAGGGAAAACTCTGCGTGTGCAATCAGAGTACATAAGGAACTCTAATCCAGAGCATTTTGATCTTTATTTTTTCAACACCAAGAATCCTGCGGCAGCTTAAAGACTAACAAATTGATGGAGGTTTCATGGGTTACTGCCCACTTACTGGCAGAAAATCAAGAAAACTAAAGAGGCAACAGTAGAAGCTGCATAGCTCCATATCAAGGGAATCCAGTTAGCACTGATCCATGCCTATTGCAGTCAGAGACCACAGGTGCCATGCAGCTAGTGTTCACTGGTGATATGTTTACATAGCATGGAAAATTGTGCAAATACCTAAAGTGTGATGGTTCAGGCAACACGTAGATCTAGGTGGGTGATCTATCCTGTCTGCCTTCTCTGCCAACTCAAAACTTGACTATGTATTCCTCTACCATAAGAGTGGGCAGAAGGTAGATCTGAATTTACACAAGTATCTCTGTGTCATTTGCAGTAGATCAGCACAGATTTCTGAGTCTCATCTGTTTAACAACAGCAGCAACAAAAGAACTATTCACACCCCCAATTAACCAGGAAGGCAGATGTATTTGTGGAAGGACTGAGGTCTGTTCAGTTCTGGGAACCAACCCTACATCTATGGGCTCAGAATTCTTTACTTCCACCTTTTGCACCAGGATCTGGTTGGTGAATCTTGGGGTTTTAGGATAAAAACAAAACAGATCCCCTAAGCTCAAAGTCTCACCCTCGCCCCAGCCCCAGAAAATCTACCACACATTCTCTTCAAATCCTCATACCCATTTTATTCCCCTCATGATCAAACCTGCTGGGCTTTATCATAACAATTGGTTCACATCTGTCTGAACCCAACATAGATTGAGTAATACAAAATCCCAGTATAACAAAAAGTGGATTCAGACAAACAACAATTCCGCAGTGACCTCTAATTTATTATTAGTTATAATGCAGGTTGTTATCTTTCAGGCTCCCTAAGTGCTCTAGGGGAAACAGCTACCCTTAAGCAAGTACATATCTTCAATTTCATTTGTTAGTGCTTCAGCACCAAGTCTTTTCCCACCCCCACAGCATTTTTCTTCATCAGGTGACTCCAGTCAATCAGGAATCACATGACAAATACCATGTTCCCATATCGGCAATCAGACCTGTCCTCACTATGAATGGCTGGGGAGGGGGGAGAAGAGAGTGTTTATCCCTGTTGCTAGGATCCTATTAATGCCTGATCTGTGTGCGCGCAGGAGATTCCGTTAATGGAATTTTAATGAGCACTAGAAGTGCTTTTCCTATTCTGAGATCAATGAAGGCCATATGAAAGATCAATGAAGGCACACATTCACAAGCAGAAACCAGGAGTTTCCAGAGAGTCCAAGGGATATTTTTGGAATCAAATGGGAAGATGTCGACAATGTATGGCCTGAATTTTGCTGGTATCTTACAAATCAGAATAGATTGTAGGATTGTTGAGAAAAATAATATATGTAAATATACTTTTAATGGACTCCCCCTTCTGTTCATGAGCTATAAATATATTTACGTAATACAAGTTGGACTGTTGTTTTTTCTACACACTCTCTCACACACCTGTGTCATTGTGCTGAATATTGATGTGAAAGCCGGGAGGACATGAACTGCCAGAGATCGTGTTTCTGGTGTCTCCAATGCAACTGACCTTGTCAGGTGGAGTTATTTTTCCCCACGATATTCAAGAAGTGGAGGTCAGCGGCTAGCACACCATTTACAACTGTAGTGACACAAGGTGCTCGGCAGCAGCAAAGGACTACAAGATACAAACCAGACTTAAGATACGTCAACCAGTTGCCCAGCTGATAACAATAGCAATTTTACTGGATTATCTTTAGGGCCTCTCATCATAACCTAAGGGTTCTCGTCATAAACTAAATATGTTCAGAGGTCATCAACATGGGCTTCCAGGTATCCACGGAGTCTCCTTTCCTGCTACCCTCCCCCCCCCACCTATTGCAATGTAGCCATTGCAATAAGTTGTGTTGTGTGCTTAGCTGCGGTGCATGTGTTGCTCATGATAGACGGTCCAGTTTTCCTGTGGGCTACAAAGGTTGGATACCTCTTCTACATAGTATGATACAAGCAAGAACAACAAATGTCCTTCAAAAGACTGTGCTTTAAATATATATCCATTTTTTTAATGGCGGGGCTGGAAGCCTTACAGTTGGTAAGAGTGGTGTCTGAGCATCACAGTGCCCACAGGGTTAGTATGTTTATCCATTAGTTCTGCCTTCCAAGCCCACCAAAAGCCATGGAGACTTAGGTCTGTACTTCTGCACTTTCTCCTGGTGCAATAAAATCCTGGCTCTCACTTTCCTTGAGCCTCCAGTGAGGAAGAGCTGGATTTAGGCAATGCACATCCTCAAGAATGTGACCTCAGATAACAGTCTGGGCCTCTCCATTTGCAGCTTCAGAGATTACAGCGGGAGGATGAATTGACTCAGTGGTGTGTGTTACCCAAGGGCAATTTTGTACTCTCAGTAAGAGTTAAGTGTAAATTGTGAGGTGGAGTTCTCCTCACAGCTTAAATAAGAAAGCTTCCCATTTCTATTCCCACCCTGTGGTTCTGCAGAGGCAGGAAACCTGGCACCACCATTCAGTCCATCAGTGGCTATCCGATTCCGAATGGAACATTATGTTGGTGAAAAGGAAGTAAATAAGGAATTGGGGGTGAAAGAGGGAAAGAAGTTGAGCGGAAAAAGTTTTTAAAAGAAGATGCATATGCATATCTTGCACTTCTTCCATTGTGGGGCTCAAGCTGGTATCACAGAAAGCTCGTATTGAGAGGCATTTTAAAAAAAACAACCTGACTTAATTCATTTTATTGTTGTATCATTTATAACTTTATGGTTTATTTGTTTAAAAGCACAACCTGGAATGTTCACACGAACATTCTTCTGAGGGGGGAAATCTTGTGTGGTAAAAATTGCTTCAGCAGAGAAATGTTACACCGTGTACCCTCTTCCTCTCTGTTCAAAAGTAGTCAATCGTAGCTTAGTGATAAATTAGCTGCACCCAATACACGTTCCAATCACAAGTCACATTAATTAACCAAGGGAAGCAGACCTCAGGCTAATGAACATTTTCTCAGTCAATGAGGTTTTCTTTTTCTTTCGCTGGCTGCTTTTTCATGGAAAGAGTGTGCGCACGCACACACACATACACACACACACACGTACATCCTGCCAGAATAAATGCTAAAATTACCACAGTCTGATAAAAGGGGGTCAGGACCTGAAGAGTGGCTAATTTGGGGATGTAAGGTCATGTGCTTAGCAGCGACAGCATCGTCAGTTTAAAATCTAGAGGACATGTCTCAATTAGATTATGAAATATAGGTCAGATGTGAGCCTGGGTAATTTATAATTGCCTCCATAGTACAGTACAGCCCTGCAGGCAGTTGGTCTTAAACACCCTCCATCTTCTGACCTCTGGACCACTTGCCCTGGCATCAATTACCTACAAAATAGACATGCCTTGAAAGCCAAATGCTGTGGAAATCTGATGCTTACTTAAGTTGCAAGCAAGAGTCCCGGCCACTGCTGTGATTATCAACAGGTCACCAACTATGCCATTAGTAAATAAGTAAGGGGGGTGTACAGTTCAATATACTTGCAAAGCATGTTATACTCTAGCAAACTAGATTGAATAAAACTTCACTTGACATTGCATTAAACATCACTCCAGTATTCCATGACCAACAATCACTTTTCTATCATTTTGATGACTCTCTCTTTGAGATACTCTCTCTTCCCATCTCTCTCCCTATCTCTCAGTCTTCATTCTCTTAATCGGATGTATATTCAAATATTTACATAATTATAAATTTAAGAAATTACAAGTATAAATAAAATAATATTGCGTTCAATGGACATTTCAGCAGCTATGGAGATAAATTCAAGTTCTCAACAAAAGCTCTTGCTGAAGAATGTTCATAGGACAATTTCAGAGATGTTCATGTTCACTGAAGAATTCTCTTCCCAGTAATGACTGTGAAATGTGGCCCTGAATGTCTGGTGCAGACTGTACCAGCTGTTTCTGGAACATATCCAGAGATAAACAGCTGGTACAGATGTTTCCTTAAGATCTAGGGATATAAGGACAAAGTCATGTTTGTAGCCTGACTTATAGAGACTCCTTAATTCAGTTCAATTCAATCAAAAACACACACTATTTCCCTATTTATTAGAAGTTATCTTATTTTAGATATCTGGTCAATATTCATACCTTTTTTACATTGTTTATTTGCCCTTCTGTGTACTGGAATAACTGCATTAGTATTAAATTATTATTTTTTTATTTTGTAACT